TCAAGGTTCAGCACCGATAATGCTCAATCAAGATCAAAATCCGGATTTAGGGACTTTCGAAATTTCCTTTTCAAGACAAGACCAGAAAACTAATTTAGGGGCTCTTGAGAAATTATGAATGAACTACTGGATTATGAATGAACTACTGAACTACTATAAACTAAGCTTCCTCCTAATCCAAGATCACTTGAGTTGGGTCAAATCCATTGGCCAGCTTCAGTACATAAAACGAAGAAAAAAAAATTAACTTCGTCTTTGAGGATTATGGCGAGTAGAATTCAGGACGAAATGATTTTTCAGTTCCAAATCTTCTGTCTCTTCAGAAAGTCTTCGGCTGTATTTCAGCGCACGATGATCGAAACATTACTGTCGAATGCTTATTGAGATCTTTTACATGTGATGTACGCTGCTTAATATCTTTGCGACAGCGCTTCTGCAGAAGAATCTGAGAAAATCTGAAAAAAATGGCGAGTACATGTTGTACACCGAAAGATTCGTCTCAATAATCGGCGCACAGTGTTTTTTCGGATTTAGATCTTATCGATTTCAAAGTTTGGCACTGCGTAGCTTGCGTGATTCGGGTGAGATTCGGGTGATTCCGCAAAATTCCGGAAATGTCGTTGAATTCCAGGAACGTCGCAAAAAACCCAGAACATCGTTAATTCCGATACATTTACGGAAACTCTGCGCGTTCTGAGAGCGGTATCGTACACTCTTCTAATAAGAAACTTGAAGCGGTAAATTGTTGAAGCTCGGTAAAACAAGCCATATAGATTTCACAGTTTACGCCAATTGGCACTAATTTGCGAATTGGTCAGTTATTCAAGCGAGGTTTTAATCAGTTGTTGTTTAAAGATAGAGATCAAATAGCCTAAATAGAGTTATGTCAAGTACTATTGTTTTTTAGAACGGCATTCTGGCACAGCGAGAAAAAGATAATCAAGTGCCCAAAATACAGACATACCGCCTGTATATTCGGAATTGAAAACCTGCAGCTTTTATCCGCAAGTAAAAATTTAGTGGCCAACAAAGTGAGTTTTTTTTGTACCAAAAGTTAATGGTTTTATTTGTATTCTTGAGCCCTATCCTGCTTTCGACTACGCCATCGTTGACTGCACGCACGAGCTGATCTTTAATCGCACTTATCTTAATCAGATCGACCACAGCTTAGACCTGCAATTCTACGGATCTCTTGAAAACGTAAGTTATTTGATCTTTACTTGCATTTTTCATAAGGTTACTTAAATTGAGAAATCAAATAAAGGATTTGAAAGAGGGTAGTGGTTATTTGGCGTTTTCACCGTTATTTTTAGGTGCGATATCATACAAATTCCTCCAACCCGAATCCGAACTACGAGTTGCGCTGTCCTGGTTGAAAAACTTGTGTTAACAAGAACGAAAGTGGGAATTTTTTCAAAAATTCAATGGATTTTTCCATATACATCAAAGTTACAGTGTCCCGTCTATGTAACATACTGAAAAACAAAGATTGTTGCCTGATTTCTAC